TTTTTTTTTTTTTTTTGATATACAAACCTAAAATTTTTGTTCACACATAGAAAATAAAAAGTCAAATTCAGTGCTGCACAGTTTCAGCTGCAATTCTTAGTTTGATTAAGGTTTAGAAACTCCAATTTCTATTGTGCATCAGTTTGGTGCACATATTCACTCTCATTAAAAAATGGTTAACAAAACTTAAAAAAGAATAAAAAAAAAAAGAAGGTAAGATGTTTATGATTAGAAATAAAAAGTTACCAACACATGCGCCAATCCAAACGTCTATCGCTTTTGTGTAACTTACAGGAGGTAAATTTTTATTCACAGCTGAAACAAACAAAAAACATCTTCTCTTTAGTTTGCTATAGTTGTCAGCCAAAAAAATAAAGAAAAAAAAATTTCTGATAAATTTATTAAGATTTAACAACCAAACTTAATTCAGTTAACACTTCGAGCGCCACTTCCATACCGACAGTGATAAAATACATGATTATTTGAGTACAAAGCCGTAGAAAATCAAGACAAGTTATTTTTCTTTAAAATAAATCAATTTTTTCAAACGATGCATCTCTTTGAGGCAAAAGAAATGCACAAAAACTAATAAGCTTAGAAACAAAAATGAAAAATTTAAATAAAGCTGATACCATGAGCTTGAGCGATCATTGTTAAAAGAGTGATAATAGCAAGTGGTACACGTGCGGCGGTACTCTTCCAGTCAATCCAGTAGGACACCCAAGAAACCCCGACAAGCATACCAGATGGCAAATATAACTGTAGAAGAAAAAACGAAAACACCCGACTTAGTTCAATTTGAAGTGAAAGACAGCTGTAGGTCCCTAAAATAAAGCTCCGTTTCCTAAAGATCTAAGATACAAAAATCTTTACCAACAAACAATTAATGAATTCACTCACGGATCTGTTATCTTTAAACACTGGTTACTGTATGAAATACTGCAAACATAAATAAATAAATACCAGTATTAGTGATGCTATCACATTTTGACATATTGTATGAGGTGATTTCAAAGTTTGGCAAATCTCCGTTAGCATTTTTATCGATGGTAATTCCCACTTCGTCCCATACGTAAATGATGTCCTCAGTAGTATAAGCATCTAAAAAGGCAGCTTCAATCGCTGTAACAAATTCAGAAATACTTCTGAATTTATTCGCTTTGCTGGAAACAGAGTTAAAACGTAAAACGGCTTTTAAAAATCCTTATTAAAAATAATTTTAAAAAACATTAAAGTCTATAACAGTGACAAGTGTAAACGACTTACAACTAGCAAAATCAATAACGCAGTGTTGAACATCCATCGGATATCGCAAAAGATCCATAACGCAGGATAATATTAACGTTAATCTTAGTTAAATTTTTTGTTAATCACTGATTACAGTAAATCACTGTTTATCAGCTTCTGGTAATACAATTTAACAGAAAAAAGAGTTCCGGCTTCAAATGATTCCAGTCAAGGTTTAGTTTAGAACGAGCAAAGAACTGTTATTGAACATTAAACAAATCGCAAGGAGGTTAGAAAAGGTTTTTAGACAACGCCTTGAAATATTTATAAAAAATCATGACTTTTTGAGTGCTAACTTATTTATAAGCCTTAGCTCCTTCCTCCTTCTAATTCCTTTCTTGAAAACGCATAGGAAAAATAAGTGTTTACCTCAAAAGCTGCTTT